GTGGCCTTTATACCTGTCGCTTATACACATCTAGATGTGTATAAGAGACAGTATTTATGGTAATAATATGTATACTAAGCCTGAAGGTGGCGCTTTCCTACGGCAGCCATCTTGGATGGTACACATACACAACACTGCATTGCTCCGCCATCTTGTCAGCACTCTAGTTGTTTAATAGCTCTATGGGTATAGCAGAGCCATAGATAGAAAGAGTTGCGACATTGAGAATTTAGAAGCCATTTTGTGTCATACGCGATGCGCGTTCTGTGTCTAACGCATAGAGCTGTGTATAATATTGTATAATACAGTTAGCGGCCTCCAGTATAGTTTAATTTCATTTAATCTTTTATTTCATATTATAAAATAATACTGTAATAATTTACTATATTTAAGCAGTTCTTTAATCCTCGCCGATAGACCAAGAGAGCCCCTCGATGGCAAGCATTCTTTAATTAGGCAATCCTTAAGTAGCTCCTATTATTTTTGCAAATAAATGATATGTGACGACCAGCAAAAATTAATTAAATACGTATAAAAATGTAATTTAAATCCGTCTAGCGTATATAGATTGTTGCTCTTTAAATTTGAATATGAGCGAGCGCTATACAAATCTTATGTTATTAATTTAATTATTATTATTTATAAATTTTAAAATAGTAGGTCAGTTGGCCGCAATATATAAACTGTGCTTTGCTGTAAATGTTATAAATTGTAAGTGTTAAATGATATACAGGATCTGTGATATATTTAACTTGTGTAATTATGTAACGTACATTTTATTGTATTAAAAGTCTCGCCTCTATTTTAATATTGTATTATGGCTGTACAGTATGTTACCTTTATAAACACACTGCAAGAGCGTGTCCGCTGTTTTAAAAGCGTCGTTTCCAAAATAAAGTTATAATAATTATATAGTATGCAATAGAAACAGCAAATCATTTAAGATTAATAAACATCATTTTTATTTTCATTGTCATTCGTATTCATACAGACTGTACAAAGAATTGAAATTAAGAAGAACAATAATTTTAATATTGTTTAGCGAACAACTTTTAAGGATTGTCAGAAAAGGGCGAAACAAATTTTTTTTTTCTTATTTAGCTTAAATATTTTTCCGAACGCATCTAGGAGAATGAGAAAATAAAAATAAAATTTTAATGA